GCTCCGAGCAAAGATATTCATCATTTTTAAGGAGAATCTAGTCGAGAAAACCTTTAGAAAAATTTCTGCTCTCTTTCTCTCTTGAGATTTAACTGCAATTTTTCATCTTTAGATTAGAATGCAACTAAAAGGAGTAGACAATATTTAAAAAACGGACGATTTCACTTTAAACGCGAAATTACGTTCTTTATATATATATTTTAGAGATTAAAAAAAACATTATTCATTTTTATTGATTCTTATTCTGAATTTGTTGTAATTTTTTTTTTTTTTTTAATACTTAAGTAAAATTAAAATTTTCGTTAATTATATTTTCTTATGGGAAGAAAAAATATAATTAGAGTTTCAATGTTTTGGAAAATTTGAATTTCTCAAGAATGCGCCTAATATTCTACGTTTACGAGGGAACTGGGCACGCATCCAATTGCAGGAATTATACACGAATCACATAACTCGTACACGATAAACATTATATTACGTATAATATGAAACTTGAATTTTATTTTAAATTTTTAGTAATAATTATACACTAAAAGAAAAAAAAAAATATATTTATCTCGAAGCTAGAAAAATATTTATTTGCTTGAAATAAATTCTATTTTAAGGGCAGGCAAGACCTTTATTTTGATCACTTTAAATTTTAAAGAACTCTCGATGTTCTATTTTTTTTATTACAACATTTTGGTCCTTTCTTTTTTCAAAAAATTAAAATTTTTTAAAATTTGTACAAAAGATTGTAAAAAATATAGTGTTAAAAAAGTTTGTAAAAAAATTGACGTAGAAAAATAGTCAAAACTGTGAAAGTAGTTCCATTTTGAAAAATCTTAATTTTTTGTAACACACAGAAAAAAAACTTTATCTGGAACAGCAATATGTTTCTCTAGAATAGCAAAAACTTTCGCTGATTTAGTGAAACAATTTAGCTGTTCCAGTGAAACTTATCGCTGTTCCAGATGAAGATTTTTTTTCCGTGGCACTATAAATAAATAAATGTAATGCCTCCCCTTAATTCACATAAAATTTATTTAGTTTAAATATTATAAACCAAGTGAAAAATATATAGATAAGTATTTATTTGATTGAAGTAAATCCTATTTAATTAAAATAAAAATTTTTTTTGTGGTTCAAATAAAAATCTTTATTTGAAACAAACAATTATTTAGCTTTGAGACAAATATATTGTTAGTAACAATATAAAAATGATAAAATAATAATTTATAGTTTCAGAATATATAAAGTAGTTTTTAGTTAATAAAAAAATTTTTTCTTTTGACGAATTTTTTTTTTTCTAACTTGTTTCAAATGAAATCTCGAGAGATAAAAACTTTGATTTTGCATACGTGAATATGAAAATGGAAATTATATATTAAAATTTGGTATTATTTCACATCCAAAGGCAATTTATTCTTCTTGTTCGAAATTTGAAATAGGTGCGAAGTGATGTTATATTGGGTTTGAGAATCGTGTGCGGTAAGTCTGGGCTCCAGAGACTGGGAACATTTCGAAAGTGATTGGCAGCGCGAAACTCATATCGTAATCCAAGCGGCAGAGACTAATGCCGGTCGCTCTTCTGTGTGGGTATATCGCCCTTATCCTGATTGATAACCCTTCTAAAATCCATTCTACTAGGGTATTTCGCCTACATTTCCAAGCGATCTCGCTCTTTATATGTGAAAAGGTGTTTTTTTTACACATTCAGAAAACTATCTTTTTTTAAAAAAAAAAACAGTCTTCACATTGTCAACATTGAAATATTCACCTAGAAATAAAAAACTAAAAAAAAACTTGACGAGGTTTAAAAAATATTTATTATTGATTTAGGAAAGAAATAATATTTATGTGGGAAATTCTAAAATTAGGAAAATTTTACTTTTTTTTCTACAAAAATATTTTCCTCGTTACTTTTTTTCCTAAAGTACATTTTTCTGAATGCAGTGAATTTATTCACATTTGATTTGAAATTGTTTTTCATTCCCTCAAAATTTGTATCTACAATAAAAAAAAAAAAAAAATTATTTGATTCAAATAATCGATTACTTGACTATCAAATAAATATTTATTTGTATCATATAATTACTATTTGAATCAATTAAATATGTTTCAAATACAGAAATTATTCACAGAAAATTAACAGGCATTAAAATAAGCTGCAACGCTTATTATTTTAATCCAATTTTGCTTATTTTAATACCAAAATGGATTAAAATAAGCAAAATTGGATTAAAATAATAAGCGTTGCAGCTTATTTTAATGCCTTTTAATTTTCTGTGTTGGTTCGAATACAATTTATTCAATTCAAATAAAAATTTGTTGGTTCATGTAAATGTTTATTTGATTATAGTCAAGTAACTGATTATTCCAAATTATTAAAATTAAATTAAACAAAAATTTTGGAACGAAAACTGCTTCTGGATGATTTTATTTATTATTGAACTTTGAGTGTACGAAAAGATTTAGGAATTTATTTTTAGGAAAATTTTATTAGGAATTTATATTTTTGGAAACATATAGGATATTCTAAAATTAAGAAAATTAAATTATGAAAATCAATAGGGAATCTTTTATTATAACTATTTTTATTTTCTGAATTATTTATGTTCATTGTATAAATTTTATTTATGTTTTATTGCTTTTTAAAATTATTTTTGTACAATGAAACAAAAATTTATTTTATTCAAATAATCGCTTACTTGATTATAATCAAACAAATATATTTACTCGAACCAAATAATTTTTGAGTCAATTGAATGGTATTTGTTTTAAATACAGAAATTAATTGTTTAAATACAGTTTATTTGATTCAATTATTTAAATTTCAAAAATTATTAGATTCAAGTAAATATTTATTTGATAATAATAGTCAAGTAACTGATTATTTGAATAAAATAAAATTTTTTTTTTCAGTGTACCTTTGCTTCGTTTTTTGTGTTTTTCTATTGCGCGTTATTTATTTTTGTTTTGAAATTTATAAGTGCAATTGCATTTTAACTTTGATGACTGAACTCAATATCGTTGAAAATTGAACAAAGCGATTTAAAATCAATACGTTTTGTACATGTTTAAAAGCATTTGCTATCACGTGTATAGAATATATATATATATATACATATACCCTATAAATACTAATTAAATGAAAAACTATCTATTGTACAAAGGGAATTGCTTTATATTTTACAAATAGAAAATTGAATGCATAAAAAAATAATCATTACAATTTACTTTTCTTTTATTGGGTCAGTTAATTAATTTCAGTAGTAAAAATGTCGTTTCACGTCTCTACGATATTAATGGATCTAGTGATTATTTCAGAGTATTTGGCCAACAACCAAATCTAAAGTAATGAAAACCGCGTGTTATATGGATATTCGCGTATACCTATCTGTCCGCAGTTATATGTCCAACATAAAATTATTCCACATATGAAATTATTTATTTACACAATAAATATTTACATTTTAACTGAAAGCCAGACAGAATGATAAACAATCAATTTTTTTTCGAAATAAAGAAAAATTTTCATTTTGATAATTTTATTAAAAAATTTTTTTATCAGAACGTATTAAATTCTTATGAGAATTAAATTTTAGAATTTTAAATTTTTATCTTCTTGAAAAAAAAATAATTAAAGAAATATAAGTTAAAAAGTCGAAAAAGGCAGAGCCATTAACGATTTTTATTAAAAAAAAAAGAAAAGTTTTTTGTGTATTTGAAAAGCAAGTAACGCTTGACAAAAGCAACCAAGAGATACTATATTTATAAAAAGCAGGAAACCCTTGTGAAGTATTCGCTTGAACAGCTGGCCCAGTTTCTTCTAAGCCGTCTACCAATGACACGGAAAAATTCCACTTTTTTCTTTTTTATGTTTTATGATTTGTCTCGAATCCACAGTTACAAATGAGGACAATCAAATTCTACTCACTCTTCCATTTGGTTTTCATATTCTCATCCACTTGACGTTAGGCAATCGATTTTGGTTGAATTTATATTCTGTGAAAAAAAAAAAGTATAAGAATTATTTTTTTATACACCTCGAAGAAATTCTATTTTTATATTATATTGTTTTTCTTGGTATATATAGGAGAAATAAAAGAAGTCGAATGATTTTAATGACATTTTTTTTTCTTGAATGAAAATCTTATTTTGTTTTGTTAAAAATAAGTTAGTGCAAGCAGAAAAATTAACAGAAGGAATTCTGATTTCACGAAGGAAACTCATTGTCTTAAAAACTGCTGAGGCGAATGAAAGATCGACTGAGAGTATTGCGGCAGTAATTATTGTAAGACAAAGAATGGCTTTTGTCGAAGGACGATGAAAACGGATGTAATGTCGGTACTTTGTGAGGATGATCATTGTTAGAGTATTCCTCATTTTTACAGTCCACTTACCCTTGTTTTTATTTCATTTACTTTCCTGCTCCAGATTTTATAAAGTATCTCATTTTTTTTTTTTTTTTACTTATATACAAGTCAAGATTCAAAATGCAAATATATTTTCATTTTCCGAGAGAATGGAAATTCCTCTTGTTAAATCTTCTATTTTATTATTCTATTGACTATATAGTTGTTGTTAGTTCAAAATTCGTTATTTTGGATTTTCTCGATTAAAAAAAAAATATTAATTTTTGTCTCGAAATGATTAATTTTTAGGTAGTTTTTTTTCTTTTTTTAAATTGAAAAAGCGATTTTCGTATGACACGAATGACGCGTCGTGAAACATATTGGCAGGTTATATTAAATTCTTGACTAATACACCGGAATAATGGTGACCATCCCTTGATAACGTAACTACTGGATTTGCGTGAGGGATGACCGAGAAAATCCGGATCAGGCTCGGGATTTTTAATACTGCAAAACAGTTTCGAGAGAGAAAACGAGTTGCACAGGATTTGCTATAATTTGAAATTTTATTAAATAAGTCATTTTTAGTCTATTATAATAAATAGAAATTTATATAATTATTTACATTTTATAAATGAAAATTAAAAAACTACAAAATTAAAATATTTTTAACAATAATTTATTAATATATCACATAGAGATAATATCACATAGAGAATTAATATTTATATAATTTACAAAATATAATTTATAAACATAGTAGAGGGATCAGTAATTAGTATTAGACGCATATATAAATAGTATTTGAACTATTAATCTATTTGATTAGATTGTATATATATATAATTAATTTTCAACAAAAAATGGAATAATTTTGGGACATAATAATTTTTTATACCATGAGTCGAGGGGAAGATTTGAACACATTTTGATTAATGGTTCAACTCCATTTTCGTGAATGAAATTTGAAATTTTTTCCTGTGTTATTTTTAATTTTTCAGCAGTGACATTTTCAAAACATGTGAAAAGTTTTTTTGAATTTTCTGAATTTGCAAAATTTTTTGTTTCCCTCCATTGCCAAATTTTTGGTTTTGTTTTGTCAATTTTGCAATTGTTGCATGTTTCCCACGAAGATAAATAACTGTAATTATTATTAAATTTTAATGAAATGTTAAATTTATTATTATTAATTATTAAATTTTAATGAAATGATAAATTTATAGAAAATTTTAGTGAAAAATTAAATTTATTAATTTTTATCAAAATAATTGGTTAATGATGATAATAATAATTATGTCTGAAAAATATGTACCTTTCTTCTTGAATACAATCAAAATAAGGATGATCAAGTGTAAAACATTGTGGTCTTAGTATATCAAAATAAGTTATTCCAATACTTAAAGCAAGTGGCGAGCAGACATTTGACAAGCAATTGTAAAATTCTTCATCACATGAACATTCTACTCTGTTAAAGGAAAATTTATATAGTTTTAATTTTTAATAATTTTAGTAATATTTATTTTATTTATTATTTTAATAATTTTAATAATTATAATAATTTTTAATATTAATATTATATTTTAATATAATATTCTATTCTATAATAATATATAGTTATTTGATATATTTGCAGAGAAGAGAAATATGAATTCATTTTATTTTGATAAAAAATCAGTCTCAATTCTTTTGGTTAAATGAAAAAAAAATTTTTCTGTCAGAATTTTTTTAATACGTATTTTACACGAAAAAAAAAATCTTTACCTGGAACAGCGATAAGTTTCACTGAAATAGCGAAATGTTTCACTAAAACAACGAAAGTTTTCGCTATTTCAGATAAAGTTTTTTTCCGTATTCAATTACAAATTTTATATTTAGAATATTTCTTCATTTTTGATTCTTTTCTATTTGATTTCATTTTTTTCTTATTGCTTTTTATTTTATTTTTATTTTTCTCAGTTTTTTCTAATTCAGTACTGAAAAGTTTTTTTTTTTTGTTTTATTTTGCACTGGAAATCTAAAAAAATTGTTACCGTTGTATTATATTGTGTTAGTGTATATATATAACTTTCAATTGTTTTGCAGTATATTTCGATAGAGGTTTTGATCCTGTTTGAGATCATTTTTGACACTTTAGAATTTACCGTGGTCCACTACAGTTTATCATCAACAATGGGAAATCGCATGAAATGTGGCGCGACCGAAGTCTCATTCATTTTTGTTACAGTGCGATTATCATTTTACCCACGTGTCAAAAAGATGAATTCATATTTTTTTTTTCTTCTCTATTATATCTATTATTATTTTTAATTATTTTAATATTATTATTATTATTTTTTATTTTATTATTAATTTAATATTCATTATAAATATTATTGTTTTAAATTTGGTTCTTAAATTTTGAATTTTTTTTGAATTTTGAAAATCTTAAATTTGAGATAAAAATTCCAAACCTTGAGAAATGTCCACCATTAGAAAGACCATATTTTGATTCACCAGAATATATTATATTAGAACAAAGATCATGTTGTCGACAACAAGCATCTGTTTCTTTAAAATGTCCCAAATCATCATTATTTTCTGCTATGTCTCCATCACCACACCAACGTGTTCCTATATATTATTATCATAATTAATAATTAAATTAATTTTTTTTGTTATTTAAAAGAATACTTTATTTTGAAACAATTTCTTCTAATTAATTTAATTTGATAAGAATTACAGTTAATTGTAAATTTAATTCAAAATTAATAAAAATAAATTCTCACCTGGAAAAATAATTCGAAAAGGTTTATTTTTCATGGTTCCATTTTCCGTTTTAAAATTAAAAAACACTTTTTCCGTTTCCGTTACTTTCACTGATGTGTTTTTTATCGCGGCGAGTTCAAGTAGCAATAATACAGTGAAAAAAATACGACGAAACATTTTTAAAAATTGTGTTTTTTTTCCTTATATTTATTTGTTATGTGATCATTTTTCTTTTATTTCTCTAATCGATAAAGTTTGTAATACAGATAGATTACTATTATAATTATCTTGGGATGATGAATTTAATCATCAAGATCACTACTTTCATTAGAGATATACTTTGACTCTGTTTTTGATTAAATCAGGTGATGTTTTATTTAAAGAATGAAGAGTAGATTCAGTACATGTGTATATACTGAAGACAATTTCTGATGCAATCAACGTTGCTTGTTCCAAAGTCTAGACAATCTTGTTTCAGTTGTTCATTGCCCCAACGAAAAATGACGCAATTATATTATATTCCATATGTGTGTGTGTGTTTCACAGGCGTGTGTATTTATTAAATATTATCATCATCGAAAAAGTGGTCGTTTGAATAGTTGAATTTAGAAATTAAAACACTTTAGTAAATTTCAAAACTGAAATTCAGTAATACTCAAAATCAGTAAGATTGTAAACTGAAAAGCAGAATTTTTGATTTTAAAATCCGTTTTACCATCAGTTGGTAAGACTCTCTCTTCTCTCGTGCAAAATTTTCTCTTTATTTATATTTCGAGAGAAAAGTTTATTTTTGTCGTTGAAAAATGTTGGATGCTGCATATTACATAAGTTCCTTGATGTTTTCTCAGACAAATGAAAAGGGTTGTTGTATATATATATATATATATATAACAAAAGAAGGATTTTGATACGAAGAAAAGGAGGTGCAAACTTAAGTGGTTTGGGAAAGAGGAACTTGACTTAGTATAAATTTGTAAAAGCCATGTTCTCCAGTGGGAGGTACGTCTTGTTATTTCATGTTCGTTACGAGAATAACATATCTTCTCTCTCTTATATAGGATATATCACATGATCCCCCGATGTTTTCTTCCAAAACCGCCAGACCTCATATAGCGCCTCTCTTCTCAAGTTAAGCGACGCGTGAGAGAAGGTTTTGCATATTCAAAAGCACTGCTTTGCCTGGAAGCTGACTTTTCTACTTCCTCTTTCCCCTCCTTCTTCTCTCTCTCTCTCTCTCTCTCTTGCTTCCTTTCTCTCTTTCTCAATTTACCCCTTTCGATCTCATTCCAACTTCACTTAACCAATCCCCAAGACGAATTTGTTCTCCTACTTTCCTTTTAATTATTGCGATTAATTAAATTGTAACAAGACATCGCGCGTTAAGAAAAGGGTTCCGGGAAGGGTAAAGAAAAAAAAAAAAAGGTTCAGAGAAGGTAAAATTTAATTATCGTGACACACTCGAAAACAACAGACTAATCACTTGTTGATTAAATTCTTTTTCATTCAGAATATTTTTGTCTTGAGATTTTTAAAAACAATTTTCCGATTATTTAATTGAAAAAAAAAAAATTTTTCATTTTGTGAAAATATTTCAATTTGTGTAAAATGAATGAAATATGAAGAAAAACAGGTCATTATAGGAAACTGTAGCCGTTCTTCTCTTATTTTCTGTGACAAAATTTTTATTTCTTTTTTTCCCCTCCGCATTGTAAATAGTCACGTCCGGTATGAAGAGGTTTTGGTTTTGTTGCGCGCGGCATTTTTAATTTTTGAATAAGATTCCTTCGTTAAATTTTCCAAACGGAAATGAACGCGGTTTTTGAGAGGTCAATTATATTTCGAGATTTCAATTGTTCATCCCTTGGCGCGGAAGTAAATTTAACGGTAATTATTTTTTGTTGTTATTGTCAATGAAGTTTGGAATTTTCTTTATTTATATTTAAATAAAACATTTTCTGATAAAAATTAGTTTTTTTGTGAAGGAACTTTAGCATAAAAAAAGTGCTCATGAATTTCCCCATAAAAATCATTATGGTTAAAATTTTCATTTTAATAAAATTTATTAGATATTATTTTTTTAGACGTATTATCATTTTGCGAATTAACATTTGATGGAATTTCTTTTGTAAACGAATTTTTAAACTAAATATTTAGGTACCGAATTTTTATTTGGCAGAATATTTATTTTACAGAAACTTTAACCAACTTTATTTAAAAAATTATAATTTAACCGATTAGTAAAAAGTAGAATTATTATCCGTGTAAATTAATATACGTTTTAATTAGAATTTTTTAAATAAAAAGTTGATTAAAGTTTCTGTAAAATAAATATTTTGACAAATAAAAATTTGGTACGGAAAAATTTTGTTTAAAAATTCAATTAAAAAGAAATTCTCTAAAATGCTAATTCGAAAAATGAAAATTTGTTTAAAAAAATAATTATATCTAATAAAATTCTTTAAAATGAAAATTTTACACAACGATTTTTATGGAAAATTCATGCACCCTGAGAAAAGGGATAAAAGTACAGTTCTTTTTTTTTTTAAGGAAAAAGATAAATTTCCAAGTTTTGTATATATAGTATAGGCTGTACACAAGGAATTTGGTAAACCAAAGAGATAATATGCGCATTACGATCCCTATGGAAACACTTTACACGTATGCGCACTCCATGTTATCTAGTTTCGAGTTCGGTTAAGTTTCACCATGTTTTAGCAGAAGAGGCATTAGATAACTGCAGTTGGGACGTTCCTTCATGAAGAAGGGAGGAGGATTACATAAAGGAAACAGTTTACATAAGCTTCAATGACACTTTACATATATTAAATTTCCCAAATCTTCTCAACAATCTCAACTTATTTTTTGTTTATAGTTTACTTTTTTTGACTATTTAGTGGATGTTACAATTAATTTTCACTCTCGCCAAGTATATTGTAGATTTTCTGAATTATCGAATAGGTAACTATTCTTGGGGGCACGTGATTATTCCATAAAAGTAATTAGAATTTTCAATTTAAAGTATTTTTTATTAGATAAATATATTTTTTAGAAGAATTTTCTCTTTTTGAATTCGTCTTTTTAGATGAATTTTTACTAAACAAAATTTTTAGATACCGAACTTTTGTTTGTTAGATTTTTTATTTCATAGAAATTCTTTTTATCTAACTTTTTATTTAAAACAATGCTAATTTAGCCGAATTTTAATTTAACATAATTATGATTCAATAGAATTTTAAGTTCTTCAAATTTTTAAATGCTATTTCTAATTCACCGAATCTTTATTCGTTGGAATTTTTATTTACACGAATTCTTATTTGATATAATTCTTAAGTCCTAATTTGTCCGAAATTGCAAATGGCCGAATGTACAATCAACAGAAAGATTTTGGCGCGATTTTTAAAATTGACCATTCAGAAATTATCAAGATTTGTTTGTTTGGACATTTGCAATTTCGGATAAATGAAAATTCGGTGTTTTAAGAATTGTATCAAATAACAATTAGGATAAATAAAAATTTGGACAAATGAAAATTCTGCTAAATTAAAATTCAGTTAAATTAGAATATTCTATTAAATAGAAAGTTGTGTAAGAAGAAATTTTGTAAACTAAAAATTCTACTAAATAAAAATTTGATGCCTAAAAATTGTGTAAAGTAAATTTCGTTTAAAAATTAAAAAACTGATTAAAAATTATCAGTTTTATTAAATAATTTGGTTTTTTTTTGAAATAACAAGGAAAAAATATTTTTGTGACTAAATTTTAAATTGACGGAACATTGCAGGAAGAATTTTATTTCATTTCCATCCTTTTTTGATCCCTTTTTCCACCCACCTAAGTGGTAATTTCAGCATCTTCATTTAAGAGGGACTTAAACCTCTGAGCTCCCATTCTGAACGTTCGCGATCAGTTAAATTTGAAGTTAAGCTTCCACTTTAATTTTAAGTGAAGTATTTCCAACTGGTTCTTATATATATATATAGAGAGAGAGAAAGGGAGAGTAAATATAAAAGAAATATTCCCTTTCGTATTATATTTATCTCTATATACACAAGAAGGGTTGAAAATATAAATTACAATTCGGTAAAAAAAAAAAATTTTTATAATTTTTTTGGAAGTTTATCCAAAAGTCATGTATATATATATATATATATATATTTACATTCATGTCAGTGCATACGGTAACGACATCAGCACTTGAGTCGTTGACAGTTTTTTTTCCTTGACTGGACGATAAAAGTTCTCTGCTTCTTGTCGATTGAAACTTCCACTTGAGTTTACTTTTTCCAATTCATAAAAGTTTTATCTTGTATTGTTCAAAAACGAGATGAAAATCTACGTAAATAATTCGTTGGCTGAAAGGTTTCTTTTTCAAAGTATTGCGAGGGAAATATAAAAAATTTTGTTTCATAACGGTTTCGTTCAGTTTTATACAATTGTAAATCTTTTTCTTCTATATACACCGTTAAAAAAAATGTGAATGAATTGGAAGTTTTTTCCATTCATGCAAATGAATTTTGAAGTTTAAGAATGAAAATTAAGTTACAATAACTTCAAAATTCATTTACATTAATGGAAAAAACTTCCAAATCATTCACTTTTTTTTAACAGTGTTGTGATAATATAAGGCTAAATATATGTTTAGTATTTTCTTTTCCTCTTTCATTTCATATAAATGTGATATATGAAAACTGGCTTGATTTCTCAACGTCTCTTCAAAAATCGTCAATGCTTTATAGATCCGTAGAATTTATCAGAAAAATTTTATTTATACAAAAATGAACTGTTTTCCGTAAATAAGAAAGTTCACTATACATATATATATGTGAATATGTATTGAAAACGAGATAAAATTTCGTTTCATCATAACATATAATATCGTTCACGGTTTTATTTTTTCATGCATATTGAGTTTTGCAAAACAGAGAAAAAATGGTAGGAAAAATAAATGTATAACATTATGAAACTTTTCAGAAGAAATTTTTATATATCGTATTACAATAATATAGTAAATGTTATTATTATTATTATTATTTTTATTATTATTATTATTACTATTGATTTTGTGTTCGTAATATCTATCAATTCATTTTATATATGAAAAATATCTTCAAAGGCGACTATTTCAATTTTTTTTTATTTAATATTCCGCTTTTCAAGTTTGATTTTTAGAATGTTTCAAATATTATTACATTCACGATCAAACGTAATTTGCTTTTTCGCTTATTGGAAAAATGTGAATTTCACCTTTTTACTCGCTAATGCAAATATTCATCGTAGACAAATAAACTTTTTGTATACTGTTGGAAACATGTATGTATATACATTTTTTTTATATTTATATATATATATATATATATATATATATATATAACGTATATTTTATGTATATGTATATGTACAATGTATTATATATAAAAATTTGAATTTATCGATATATATATAGCTTTTGGAGGAAGCGTCAGTTTGCGATCAA